CCAATTTGGTCTGGGTCCGAGGTGGGCTTAATAGCCGGCGACTACTGTATTAATCAATTAGTAACTAACTAAATTTAAAAAGTAAACAAGTATTAAATAATTTAAGTAGTTTAATATATGTTTTGAATATATAATCAATGGATATTGAAATGCTTACTCTAGCCCCAACCTTAACCCTAATAACAAGTAAACCAATTGCGAAATGGATAAATTCCGCCAAATGTTACATCCATTGAAGATCATGCAGATTAGAAAAATAAAAACGGAAAACATACGACAAAGGTATTTTATATGAGCCCCTAAACAGTAAACGAGAATAAGAACGCCCCATCCAATTAATAAAGACGAATTTGTCTATAATTCCAGCAAAGGTAAATAGTTTCGTGTCGGAAACCTAACATAAAGTAAAACGTTGCCCCTAAATTAACCCTAACCCGACCCTAAAATCTAAGTCAACCTAATACCAAACCCAACCTTAAGTGCAACACTAAATCTAACCTTAAGCCTAACCCCAATTTCGCTGCAATTTGCCGCAAAGTCATAGGTATTACGGACTGTCTCTCCCTTCATATAATTTTTGAGGAGCCATTTAAGTAATTCTTGCCAAACAATCCTGCGGAACCGTAACCACAGCTCTCTGAATTAGTCACTAACTTTATTCCCCTGAGGTATTTTGAAAAAAAAACCCTTGAGAACATTGCCTCTCGATCGAGAAGACTAAATTTCTGACAGTAACTTGACTCGTGAGTAAGCGAAAACTATGGCGTTAAATTGTCACTATTACTAGTGCTGCTCCTACTTGATCAGATCGGTAAACCTTCTAGATTCAATTGAATTAGCACAGCCTAGCCATGAAAATGTACAAAGACATTTGGGGAGATAAACATGTTTCCTGCGTATGGAACTCTAGCTTTGGTCCGGTAACTTTACAACCTCAAAGATAACATACAAAATTCTCACCTCAGCAGTAGAAATCAGGGTAGACAGCTCCTTCTCCGCTCTTTTCGTAGAGGAATCTAACTGAAGAAGAACCTTCCGAATTGATCGGAAGGCAGCCTCCACTTCTGCTCTGCCATTGGCAATTTCTTCGCTGAATTTCTAGCAAAGGGAGTGTAATATACTTGGAGGGTAAGAAGCCAGAAATCACATGACGTACTCACCGGACACAATATACTTGGCCCAGGAAGCAGACTGAAGGTTGCTACTGGCAACCGCAGCTGCTGCAATTACAATGTCCTAGGATTGGTCCCTGTCTACTGGTTTAAAAAAAGATGGCCTGCAATTTTATTTTGCTTGACCAACTTCAACGGAGGAAGAGGACCGATATGTTTTCGAAGAATAATCATAGAACCGCTACCGTAATGAAGTCGTCGTCCTTGCAAGAAAAACACATCCGTAGATATGTAAAAACTACTCTTGAAATTTCTCACCAGCGGCTCCATGCTTCAGGTAGCCAAAACACAAGACAAGCATTTCTGTCCCGGCTAGTCAGCCATACAGTTGATTACCTATCTCACTAACTGTCAAACGAAATTTTGAAATGTGTATTCGATCCGAAAAAATACTAAAGTATTTGAGCTTGAGTATCATGAAGCCTATTCGCATGTTTTAAAATAGTATGCTTTCTTCAAATAGTACACTTGAAAAAAAGTCATCTTTCCCTTCTAAAAAGTTTTCTATGATGAGATTATTTTGGACCATTAAATATTTATTCATATGGAAATGTAATGGACGCGTTGTACGCTGTTATTTCACAAATGCCACACCTTTATGTTTCATTAGTAGTTTTATGCTTTCAGCATAATAAAACAACTAGTAAAACCTTTTGGTACTTCATTAATTTTCATGTATGCCTGTATCTTTTAAACGGAGTTTCTAAGGGCTTCTGTCATCTACTCCATATACATTAGCAAGCTAGGCTAAATTAAAAACTAATAAAACATTATGTTGAACTAAAAAATGAACCAAAATATAAAGAAGTTAGATAAGCCAAATTAGCTAAACTAAGGTAAAGTAAACTAGTAAGAATTTCAACTCAGAAAGCAACCGCATGTGACTAATAAATCTAGTAATAAAATAAAACCTAGCTGAAGTAACTAAGCAAAGATAAGCAAAAGTAAACTAGCTGAAATAAAAAGAAATCTAAAACTTAAATAAAACTAATGAAACTCAATAATAAACCAAAAAATAAACTAAAAATAAACAGAAATATAACAATATATAGAAGTAAATTGACCATATTTCGCTTTTTGTTGCCAAACATTAGATGACCTAAAAAATTTTGGGACCTAAATTAAACTTCCACCAGAGAATCATCTGCACTCGGCCACAGTTACTCAAAACG